CGGAATGGGTATAACCTGCATAATAAAACGGACTCCAACAGCTTCGGTGCTATTGGAATCAGACTCATGCCCCTGTGGTTGGAACAGGCGTTGCGACAGCTCTTTTTATAGATGGCCGTGACAATCGATTCTCCCCATGTGTGTGGTACACTTTCAGTTTCCCAAATCTTCGAGAACAACTTCAAGAGTTCTCTTACAAGAGCTTCTCCACCATCTTTGAGGAGGACAGGTGGCACGCCGTCTGATCCAGCTGCCTCGTGGCGTTTCAGGGCTTGGAGTTCCTTTCGGATCTCCGCTTCTGTGGGCGAACCTGTGGATAGTGACCGGGATGTACTCTCAAGAGAACTGCTTGGGGCAGCCAACGCGAGGGGCTGGTTGAACTGTGGTGTGAAGTGCTCCACCCAGCGTTCCAATCGTCGGTGAAGGCTGTTTATTGGCGTGCCGTCTACTTTGCAGATTGTTTCACTAACACACTGTCTTTTGGGGCCTGTAGCACGGATGAGCTGGAATAGTTGCCAGTATCGCCACACCTAGCCGCTGATTCCATTTCCTTTGCACGTAGCATCCACCAGGCCTCTCGGTAGTCTGTCAAACGCTTTGTGAGTTCATGCTTCAGGAAGAGGCGCTGTTCATTGTACTCGCAGTCTGCCGGGACTTCCCGACGCGCGTCGAGGAGTCTGAGGGAGTTGGAGGAGACCCAGTGATTTACAACTCGGCGGGTTAAACCACAACTCTGTTAACCGGCTGAGTGTATTGCGCTTTGAATGGTTGTCCAGTGTGGACCTAAGCTACTTGGTGGGGTAGTAGTTAGAATTGCGGCCGACTCGCTTTGATAATCGGCTAGTACTGCCGGGTTAGAGAGCTTGACTACATCGAGCTGTTTGCATCGCATCTTTTTGCGGCCACCAAAACGCATATACAACTTGGCACAAACCAGTGCGTGGTCGGAGTCCGAGCATGTAGACCAATACGAACGGCAGTCTCTCGCACATCCTCTCCATCTATAGCTAATAGCTATATGGTCAATCGGACTCCATGTCTGCGCCGAAAAGGGGTTATGCCAGGTGGCGAGGTGATGATTAGAATGTCTGAAGTTCATGTTAACGAGGAACAGACGGTGTTCTGAGCATCTGCTAAGAAGTCTGTCCCCCTTATCCGAACGACAGCTTTCAAGGCCGTGACGGTCACCAAGGTGGGTCACATCGGATGACGGACGACCAACGCGTGCAGTTAGGTCTCCGGCCAGGATCACGATATCCGTCTTAGGTGCTTTGAGAAGAAGCTCATATAGGTTGTGATAGAAGACGTCATTGACTGTATCCGAGCTAGTCTGTGGGAGCGTATGCAGAAACCAGGAATAAACATCGTTCATTTGGTTTCTGATCTTACTTGAGCCTCTGAGTCTCACTGGGCATAGTCGGCTATCTACCGGGATCCAATCCAATAGACCAACCTCGGCCCTGGTGCTTAAGGCAATACCAACGTTTGCTCGACCAGATGCTGAAGCGATAGGGTCCCCGGAGACGCACAGTTGAAACGCTTCTTCAGGATTGGAAGGAGGAATAGGCAAAATAGGATGCTACATCCCACACGTGACTGCGTTTTAGGAGTGTCAGGTGGATTGAAACAGTCAAAAGGAGGTGGGTGAATGTAAAAGAGCACCTTACACAGAAAAGGTAACCAATTTGAGCATATCGCGAGAAACGAAGGGGAGGCGAGTAAAAAATCAAGTGGGGGAGAATAAGGCATACGTTGGAGATGAAGGAGAGGATTTTTGGAAGAAATGAAACGCACATGGAATCCGAGAATGGAGGCAAGAAAAGCACTAATGATATCGCGATCATTATCGTTGTTCGTAGTGTTCTGACGGGTACCGGAGTCAAAAGGAGAATAGTGGCGAGTGACATCAGCAAAGCAGTGAATGGGATTGGATAAGTTGAATAAACCATCGTTAATAAGCAGAAGGGGACGAAAGTAAGGAACCTTGGGTAACACTGGCATTCACAGGTAACGGCCAAGATAGGGCCCCGTCGATTCGGACGGAGATGGTTTGTTTGCTGAGGGAAAAATGCACCCACGACACGGGAGACAGGTGGAATCTGAATGTGAGTAACTTCAACAGCATACCCCGTCAAACGCGGTCGAACACCTTTGAAATGTCGAGCGAGACCATGTGAGTTTCTACGTGGTTATCAAGTGCAGTTGACCAGTAATGTGACTAAAGCCAGTAGGTCACTCGTGGATCAACGAGGGCAAAATTTACATTGGCGGATATTCGGTGAACCTTGATGTTCGGAAAACGCACCCAGTTGGTCTGAAATAATGGTTTCAAAAACTTTTGAAATTACAGAAGTGAGAGTAATGGGACGATAGTTATTGGGATTGGAACGGTCATCATGTTTTCGGATATATATATATATATATATATATATATATATATATATATATCACGCAAATCTGATGACAGGCTGCATGCCGATCAAATTGTGGTAC